TGTGTGGCCTGAATCGGTTAAGTGATGTATGCTATGTACGTATTAAAATCGAGTCTATTAAAGAGCATTCAACAAGATTATTGAACTAGGATTACTCTTTAATATTAGTTTTCTGCAAGAGTTCTCTGAGGAATTGTTCGAGATGATACCATCGTCTCGTCTTTACCATCGCACCGCCCGCCATCGGGGTAGAATTCATCCATACTACCTGGAGCCACTACGTTCATCCACAGTGCGTTTACAGAGATATTTTTTGTCAAGTACCATCCGGCTTTGGAATGAGCTCCCCTCCACTGTGTTTTCCAAGCGCTTTGACATATCCTTCATCAAACGTGGCTTGTGGAGAGTATTAAACAGTAGGCAGCGGCTTGGCTCTGCACCTGGCATTGCTGACGTCCATTAGCGACGATAACCACTCACCATCAGGTGGGCCGTATGCACAGCTGCATACACGGGCAATAAAAAAAAAGGTTAAAGAGGAAAGAGTTTTATAGTAAAACGCTCCTCCTCCATGCGTCGTATTCCTCAATGCTGAGGGCTCTGAAAACCCTTCTGTATCACTTTCTAGCAGAGTACAATTAAAATTATTTTCATTATACAGCAGAATATTAATTTCAGGTGAAACAATAAGTACTCTTAGTCAAATTAACATGAACATGTACCTAGTTGGGAGCATTTTAACTACAAGTCATTTAGTTAGAAATTAGATCTTTAGATGCGACAATAAAAAAAACAGAGGCTTGGAAGCTAACCAATGTAATGAATACATTGATTAATTAACACACGCGAACGTTAGAACAATAATGGCACACGCTGTACGTTGTAATGTAAATCGAATACAATCCTTTGTGAACGATAATGAGTCTTCGTCTTGAAACTGAATGCGACCGCTTTAAGCAGACCTCCTCGCGTCTTACATTATGCATTACATTTGTAAAGCGAATTGATACTTGTACGAATTTAGAGGTTCTAACTGAAATGGCTAGTCAAAATAACAGCAGTCGACATAGACCTCTAAGCGGTAGTTAATGGGTCAATTATGTGAAACGACACGAGGGAATGTTCAAGAATACTTGAACAATCCTAATAAGTGAGTTAGCTTCTTTAGGTTTTCAGTGACGAATTTCTAACAAAGATGATGAAGCAATTGTATATGTACATATGTGTGTATGTAACCAAAGTATTTGTTTTATTATAGAAATATAAATAAATGGTCGTGAGTCATTAAGCTCAGTACAAATCTGACTGACTACACATACTTCACGAAAATCTACAATTAGCCACCGACCTGTTTATGCCACAAAACTGTCATGTATTTTAGATACAAATCTTAATAAATCACAAGACATTTATGAGAAATGGTTTCTTCGGTCCCTGGACTCTGTTTAACACATTTAATTATCAAAATAAACGAAGTAACACTTTAGTTGAATGCACTTATTTTATGCTCAATACCGAAAATAGTTCGGACTAAATAAATTAATTAATCTATACTAATGTATAAATCTACAGTGGTTTTTACGGATGTTCCGTTATAACTATGTGAACCATGCATCCGATTGACTTGAAACTTGGTATCCATGTAGAAAATACATGTACTTAATATATAGGTTAACATTTATATGAGTGTTGGACTCCCTAATAATAATGACAACAAATAATAATGTTAACTTTAAATGCCCAGCGAAGCGGGCAAGCAAGGAATTGAGACTTTTTGTTAATGGTAGTAGAGAAATAAAACCCTTATCAAATCATCATCTACGGGAATTTGCTCAAGAACAGATAGATCTCCCTAGGTTAGACTACAGTTGGGTAGAAAAATGTGCGTGAGGGATAAACCAAGAGTAAATTACAGTCAGATCGGGCACCGTTCCGAAAGTGAGGCCGATTCTCCTCGTCAACAATTCTGAATTCCAAAATCAGTGCGCCTTACCAGTCATGATATATGGGTCCAAGACAAGGACTAGCTTTTAAAAAAAAAAGGCTAATAAGACACTTCAAGGTGACTCAGTGAGCTTTAGAACGAGTATGCTTAGGTTTCTCCTAAGGACGAAATCCGAAATAAGGTTATGAGACAGAACTAAAATCACCGAGGTAGCTTATAGAATTAATGCATTGGGCTGGCCACGTGAACTGCCATATTCAGTAGCGTCTATATCCACCAAAGGTCGAGTGTGAGCTGTCGACGGTGATGATGATATTCAACTTTATGACCAAGCAGTGGCATTCACGTTGTTAATCTAAAGGCTCCTGTAATCACTTCATATTAGGTTAGTCTTGAGGTCGTCTATTCAACCGGCGCAATAAAAATTGAGCGTGTGTTCATCGGCTTGCGAGAGTAATAAATTTTTCTGATAAACTTTCAGTGTGATCGTATACTACTGCGTAACAAAAGAATTTCAATGTCATAAAATATGATTTAACGTTGAAAATCGTAAAGCATCGACTCGTAAAGCAATGCTCGGAGTGACAGACTCCATTAAAATTTCGCTTCGTCACATCTGCAGTAAACGTATCGTCACTCAACTCAACATTTTCTGTGAGGTATTAAGTACTCGAAGATATATTACTATTTTAAATTATATTAATTTATTAGCAATAAAAAACTTTGCTTATAGTAGGAAGCTTTTACGCTTCAATATTTTCTTGGTGAATTTGGAATACTTAGGTATTAGTAACATAGTTATGTTTTTAATTTTTTTAACGAAATGCGTATCTATACTAATATTATAAAGAGGAAAGATTTGTTTGTTTGTTTGTTTGTATTGAATAGGTTCCGAAACTACTGAACCGATTTGAAAAATTATTTCACTGTTTGGAAGCTACACTATTCTAGAGTGACATAGGCTATAATCTTTTTTGAAAAAAATATTAATTTGGGATCCTTACTAAAACTCTAATAATGCAATCCAAGGTGTAAAAAAATTACCTAAAATATTCTTTACATAGCGTGCCCTGTGAAAACTATTGATGATAGAATAAAATAATGTACTACGATTTTGTAGAACACATTATTATTTACAAAAAGTGTCGCGATAATATCTTTTTAACTATTATAGTTATACTGCAATAAGCGTTCTTTTATTTAAAAAATAAAACAACGTCAAATATCGTTGAAATTTTTGTTAAAGACCCGAGCGGAGCTCGAGCGGGTCGCTAGTTACTTATATTACTATTTTAAATAATATTAATTTATTAGCAATAAAGATCGAGGCAGCAGGGCATGATAGAGGGTACAAGACCGCGCGGCAGATCACCGTTACGATGGACCGACCAAATAAAGGCAGCTCTAAACGGTCCCGTTAACGAGTGCACAAGAAGGGCCGCGGTACGCGAGGAATGGCGACGTCTGGTGAAGCGCACCACCAACCGAAGTGATGACCACGACCACTCTGCCAAGAGTGCATACGACTGAGAAGAAGCAATAAAGAACTTGGCTTCTAGAAGAAAACTTTTATGCTTGAGTATTCTCTTGGTTGAAATTGTCGAGTTGAAGAATTTGGCATACTTAGGTATTAGTAACAGAGTTATGTTTTTAAGCCGAGCAAGCAACTCGTTTATGACATTATGAAATGCGTGCGGTAGGCAGCGGCTTGGCTCGGTAGGCAGCAGCTTGGCTCGGTAGGCAGCGGCTTGGCTCTGCCCCTGGAATTGCTGAAGTCCATGGGCGACGGACACCATCAGGTGGGCCGTATGCTCGTTTGTCTACATGGGCAATAAATTTTTTTTAGAATAAACTCGGGAATGACTTCCGTGATGGAAAAATAAGAGCGTGGGTGTAAAATCGAACCCGAAAAAAGATTAATTTTCGTCCATACTGGTGTTGTGAGCCCTCCCGGGATGTACCGCCGCCTACCTTATTTCTGACACGAAGCAGTAATTCGTTCTCGTATAAACACGATAACACTATAACACAGCTGAGAGTGAAAGTCTCTTGATGGGTAGTGGCATTCACGTTGTGATATATGTATGTGTATGGGCCCCAATAACTGCACCAGGTGAACCGTGAGCTCGATTTTTTGTTCAAGCATTAAAAAGCAGGGATTCAAATATATAATAAATAAAATGTATAAGACATGTATGCTAAGAAACTTTTAAGATATTGCATAGCTTTTATCGCGGGCTTTAAGCGCGGAGACCGTATCAAGAAATTTCGTACTGAAAATAAAACCTAACACCCCGCACTCCGCCTACCATATAGCTCGCGTTCAACACATTCACACGTTGCGCTTGTGTAGTGTTTGTGAATAAGCGCGCGGCGTGACATCGCACTGCATGCGCCTCATGAAAAGTCTGCCCATCTCTCTCTCGCGCGGTGTAGCTTATGAGCGTGAAGGGGACAGTTAATGTTTTGCTTTTGATAATGTTTATAAATATAACGTGGTCTTATTTTATTATTGTTTTAATAACCAATTATTATTGTCAAATTATAATTGCATACGTTGATAAAAATACTATGCAATAGCTTTACCGCGGTAGTCCCCGAGTGCCGAGTTCATAATTACAAATACAAAAAACAACTATCACGATTAAATGCTATGCAAAATTAAAAATCCTATCCCACAAATGTCAGAACTGCTGAATAATAATAAACGAAATACCAACTGTTAAACAAATATGAAGCGAAGACCATGCTCCCGAAATTCGTACTGAGACAAATTTCGTGAACCGTCTTACTGTATTCAAAACATAAGCCGCAACACTCAGAAGCAGCCGCTTTTCATAGTCAAGCAACTGGAAATGTGTAAACGCGGCACCGACAATCCACTGACCTGGAAATCTTAGAACGGTTTCGGCCCAAAGATTAATTACTTAAACTAAATGTCGACTAATCTCGTGATCTCCGAGCATATCCGTCCGAAATAAATAATTATTCTTGACGGAAAACGTAAGTTGACATTACGAATGTGCAGTTTTAATCCATGCACTACGGTGGTCAGTCGCAATACGAACTACCGGAGATAAAACGCGTCACCTTTCAAAAATATATTACGCTTGAAATGGACGAACAGCTTAATGACGTATCAACAAAAAAGGTAAAAAATAAGAATATAAATTAGAATAAGACATGACTTAAAGGTCTTAGTTACCAGGTCATAAAATCCCTTACAAAAAAAATCAACAAAAAGTTATAATCAGAGTTTTTTTTTTTGTATGCTTTTTATAGCGATATCTGAAAACCTCATATTGTTTTCAGGCGAAGGCTAAAGGAGAACGTCGCCGCAGCCGCCCCGAAACGGATCCCGCTCGGGACGAAATAAAGAATTTCAAAGAAAATCTACTCCAATCAGTGTCTACCTCGGAGTGAGTTATGTACACTCTTATTCTATTACTCGATAATCAGAACATCACAACGTAGCTGCCGGTACCCCTATGTATTTATGTAAGATATGATGTTGAAGTCGATAAAAGCAAACATTAAGACTAGGCTGTGACTGGCCTGGGCGTACTACTGGTGGTAGGACCTCTTGTGAGTCCGCGCGGGTAGGTACCATCACCCTGCCTATTACTGCCGGGAACCAGTAATTCGTTTTTTTTTTTTTTTTATTGCCCTTGTAGGCAGACGAGCATACGGCCCACCTGATGGTGAGTGGTTACCGTTGCCCATGGACTTCAGCAATGCCAGGGGCAGAGCCAAGCCGCTGCCTACAAAACGCTGCTGTTTCGGTTTGAAGGGTGAGGCGGCCGTTGTAACTGTACTGAGACCTTAGAACTTATATCTCAAGATGGGTGGCGCATTTACGTTCTACATGTCTATGGGCTCCAGTAACCGTTTAACACCAGGTGGGCTGTGAGCTCATCCACCCATTTAAGCAATCGAATTCAAATCGAAAAGCCAAAAGCTAGATTTGTCTTAACGAGAATAAGTTTGTCCAAATCCCGCATGTGCAATATCTTAAAAACATAACCCAAGACTACGATCCTTTACCGAATCTGGGCCACGTGGTACAGTAGTCAGAGGCCCAACCACTAAATCAACAATCCGATTAAAATAGTACTTCTAAATAAATAATGAGCGTCTAGTAAAGAGGCATATAAAATGATATTTCTGTACTATATAACATAATGGCACCCTGGAACCTACTAATGACGACTCAGGGATTTTTTATTAGAAACTGTTCGTGTAGCTATGATTATCGTTCATATGCTAATTCCATTATTTTGTTCGTAATTTTAATTTCCGACGGGGGCTGTTCCGACATCATAAAAGTTTTTATTGAGAAACTAGCTGACCCGGCAGACTTCGTAGTGCCTCAATCGATAAATAAAAGATCTAAACTTTTGTATAAAATAAACTTAAAACAAACAAAAGGAATCCGTCCGACGGGGGACACATCAAAGGAAAAACAAAATTGTTTGTTTTTATTTAATTCCGAGCATTTTCATATTTATCTTCCTTTTAAACCTTCTCTGGACTTCCAAAAATAATTCAAGACCAAAATTAGCCAAATCGGTCCAGCCGTTCTCGAGTTTTAGTTAGACTAATGAACAGCAATTCATTTATATATATATAGATAGATAGATAATTGAAAAGGCGTTATAAAAACAAATTACTGTCCTAAACTGAAGCCACGTTTTTGTGACAGTTTTATTTATCGGGAAGCTGCCGAATCAAGGGTCGTCTGAAAATTTTCAACGTAAACTTAGTTTGGCAAGATCAAAAGACAATATCGGAGGCGGGAAGTAAATTTCGTTTTCTTCTATCAGTAACGCTGGCTGTGAAATTTTAAATCGATTCTTTTATTTATAGGACGATCGAGAACAAATTTGTAAAAGATCAAAAGTCGCTTAGCCGGTCCGTAACAATTTAATTTCAGGTCGTAGAAATTTTATTATTATTATTTTTCAATTTTCGACGCTTTCACCTCAGTACAGTTTTCTTGGTCATAAATGATAAAGGTGTTTGTTAACTGTTGAAGTTTGAACATGGCACTAACTGGCCTCTAATAATTATTATTTTAATTCCGATCTCTTCTTTACCTTCACATCGCCTATTACTAAAGCAGATTTTATTGCATTAAAAGTTTTCTAGACATCATCACTTCTTATCCTGCGCTGGAATAAAGCCACGGTGTTGTTGCACTATAAAAAAGTTCTCATTGACACGAAATTCGGTCAAAAAGGCTCTACTGTCCCATTCCCATCACCCTGCCGTATTATTAATATCCTTAGTACATCTTTGTTGCTTCCTTCTTTCCTTACTTCTTCGAATTCCAATCTTATTTTCTCGTGCTTTATTAAAAACTCATCGTGATCTGCACGATAAGGTGCCCTAAGTAGCTATGCGACTACATTGGTACTCAAACATCGTAAGCAGGTACTAATAAAAAAAAAGCTTATACTTATTTTACACATCTTCTCGAACAATCGTTACGATGAAAGAATAAAAGTGTGTTATTCAAATAAAAGCTGCAAAAAGTTTAAAATTGTGTATGCCCTATTGCCAGGGCGTATTGTAAACACAAACGGGTGTTTACCACCACTCTGCCTATTTCTGATGCGAAGCAGTCATGCGTTACAGTTTGATGGTGGTTTAGTTGTAAAATTGTCAATACAAGTACAATTGTCGTCCTTATTTCACAACGTGCGTCATTCCCGTTCTATTTACCTTCGGCATGATATTGCTACTGGATAAATATACAAGCGAAACGACTTAACAAATACACTTGTTAAATAACATTTCGTACTGTATTAAACTTAGTATGAACATTAAACATTAAATAGAAAGCAATGGAGACTTAGCAATTTACTGAATACTAAAAATTTTATTTGCAGTTCCATATTATCGGATAGCGGTCTGGATTTGCCGGTGCAGGCCAGATCTCGATCGGCTTCCAGAGCTCGTGAAGCACTATCCATACCTTCCAACGTCTTAGCCGAGATAGACGAGAATAAACTCTTTGAACTAAAAGAGGTCTGAGAATTCATTTTATTTGAGGGAACATAGAATTTTAGAGGCTTTAAATTTATAACGTTGAGGGTTATTTCGATAGTTATAAAACTATGTTGAATGTTTGGATAAAAAAAGATTTGAATTTTATTAGAAAGTTATAGAAAGATTGGAAAGTGGATTTAAAATTTGGATTTAAATTATTTCAATATTATTTTTGGTCTCTGGTTAAATTAAATATATTTATGTATCATAGTTCCTGCAATATTTATCTATTTGCTGTCTATAGGGCATATTGTGAGTCCGAAACGGTAGGTACCACAATCCTTATTTCTACTCCTGAACAACCATAAAGTAGGCTTAGAGGGAAGCCATTATTCAATAAAATTTGGCTTCATGTCTTAAAGTGGATGGCAAAATTCGAATTGCAATGTGTATGGGTTGCAGAATCTGTTTCAAATAATAAATAAGCAGACTATCTTGATATTTCATGATGATACTGGCTAAGGCATTTTAAATTAAGTTGAAAACTAACGGCCTCTATTTTTCAATGTCACTCTGTGTGTGTGTTTTAGTTGTCTGTGCCTGCGAGTATGTGGAATCATAAAAAAAGAACTGTCTTTTTCCTTACATACGGAATAAATAGCGATATCTTTAGTCAACTGTTGAATTTACGACAGTTCGTTTTTTGTACTTTCACAGTAACAATCTCATCTAATACGATGATTCCGTTGAGCTATTAATTAATTTATATTTCGTTGTAATCTGAATTTTAAATTAAAAATTAATAATAGTGTTATAATATCAAATTTTATTTCGTTCAATTGGACTGAACCAATAAGTTTCAATATTTATTTTCTATTTATAATTCGAATATGAACTCGATCATTTTGACAAGGCAGGCGTCGGCTTTGCTTTACCCTTTGTATTGTTGAAGTTCATAACCACTCATCATCAGGTGGATCGTATGCTTTCCCGTCTACAAAGGAAACAAAAAAATCATTAAATATTAAAAATCATTAAAAATAACAATGTTAAGAACACGCTAAATCATTGACTTATTTTTCCTATCAGTCGTTTTGTTTTTTTAATTTTGTTATATTTAAATATTGAAATTATTCTTGTTTTGTAAGGTCATTTTTTTCATAGGCATTTTTTTTGTTCAATTTAATTTATTTTTTATTTAACAAAATTGGAATCATGTTGTTTTGTAGGATCATTTTTTTCATAGGCATTTTTGTTGTTCAATTTAATTTACTTTTCATTTAAAAAAATTGGAATCATGTTTTGTAAGATCATTTTTTCATAGGCATTTTTGCTGTTCGATTTAAATGGAGACGGGTGTATTGATTACAACGACCTACGCGGAACCCTGGTTAGTCTTGGAGACAAGATAGATGACCAGGCTATTCGCAATATGTTAGCTGAGGTGAGAGTATTTGTTTTAATTTCGCTTAAGAAAATATATTGGACTAGAGCGTATCTTATAGCACTTATACAATTTTATTTTGTGACTTCAAATTAAATTATTCAAAGACAAAAAATCACCGTGAAATGACGTGCCAATGTGCTAAAGTTTGTGTGTGTGTTTTTTTTATATGTATTTGGAACTAAAGCTCTTATCTGGAAAATAGATTGAAAATCTATATTGTTTATTTTAAATGTCATTAAATTTACATAAAAAAAACTTAATAGGAAATTTCAATAGCATGAAAAAATTAAATTACAAAATTTTTCTTTAGTTTTAAACATGTTTTTTTTTAAAACAAGAGTATTTTATATGGAAAAAATCGGAAAATATATATTTTAAAAATAAAAAATGATTTCAATGAAATAGCAAAAATCACATCTGGTAATCCTTTAGAATAATAATTAACTTAATATGACTAATGAATATATAAAAACAGCTGATACAATTTGAACACAACATTACCAAGTTCTCGTTTTAATAAATATTTCATGCACACGAAACCCCTAGACCAGAATCTGCACAAACACTGCGATGCTAATATACACATCTTGCACATAAATTCTCAATGCATACTCAATTAGCCAGCTGGCATCGATATGTATTGACTATCGTATGTGAAAACGGTTCGAATTAGTTGTGGACCCGCTTTAGTTTCATAGTTGAACTTCGTGCTCTATTTTATAGTTGGTGCTAATTTAATTTTTAATCACAGCCCCTAGATGTGAACGAATATAATACCGACAATGACGTTCTAAATATATCTATCTAAAAATGTTTGGTGTCGTGGGACACCGGAACGAAGTTCCTTATTATAAAAATATTAATTTTAAGTTTTATGGGAGGTATAAAGAAAATAAAACTGGAGGATTCGCAACAACCCACGGTCATTCGGTAACGTGCGAACCTATAGGTATTGTGGTACACTTCATTCACGGTTGTTTGCATAAGAGTTAGTGTATTGCGCAAACGAACGCTCCGAGATCGTGATCAATGAATGATAAAAAATATGTTATTTTTTGTACGTTATTACAAAGTTAAGTCGTACACTGTGTGCATTACTAATAAAAATCTTACGTTACGGACGTTTTTTTCCGGTTAGGGTACCCCTCCGCATCGTCCCATAAGAAACTTCGTTCCAATACAGAATTAAAATAAAAAAACTTTATGTAAATACAAAATTTCGCAATCGTCAATTATAGTGATATTCTTTTTTGCATCCAAAATATGATTACGTTTTTTTCTTGCTTACAACATCAACAACAAAGCATTCGTTCTAAGGTCTCGGTTTTTACAGTACAACAGCTCACTTCAAACATAAACGCATTACTGATTCACGGCAGAAATAGAGTGGTGGTACCTACACGTGCTTACTCACAAGATACCCCATCAGCAATAGAATTTCTGGCCATAATATACCCGAAAGTAAAACATTACCTTTTGAATGACCAAAATCCGAAATTTTATTACGAATATACCGAACAAGCAAAACTTATTTCCATTACATCGCAAAACAATAAGTACCTACTACAACTTGCAGTGATACTTGCAAATCAACTGAGGGGAACTTTTCATTTAATTCCACATAAGCGAAGAACTTTGGAATAGAGCTGATCCGTGATCCTTTGACGCTGCCAGGGATCGCTCTTATTAAGGACCTAATAGTCGAATGTAGAGAGTTCGGAAGAGCTTATGGATATTAAAACTGCTTGGAACGTGCTTTGCTGTGAAAAAGTACATTCAGTCATTATTTTTAGTACACAAAGTGCCAAAAAAAATGGTACTTTATGTACTAAAAATATATCGGTTGTAAGAACTACGATGAATTAAGCCTCTTTTTGTTATTTGTGCAAATGTTCCAAGCATTAACAGGTTTGGTAAAAAATACGGTAAAACCCATTCCAAATCTCGTGTACATAAAACGGCATGTACAATACCCCGATTTGCATGTCGATACATCTTAAAAACCTAATGTATAATGCTTATTCGAACTAGGGATCAAAGAATGACAATAAGATAAATTCCCATACAGATCAACCCTTTCCGGTGAAAAATAATTGCCGAGCCGTTACGCTCTGTTTGGCAAAATATTTAAATTCCATATTAAAATTAGCTGTTACACATCAGATAACACAATCCAATTTATTTTAACGAGGGTTCACTGAGAACTGAGCCCTGTTAACATTTATGTAGTTAACCTTTCTCGCGGTAACAAAATCAAAAGTTGGCGCTAATTTACGACTTCTGAGCGCGGTTTTTTTTTGTTCAATATTTCATGTAGCTTGGAACTCTGCGCTGTAGAGCGGGGTCGCAAATTAATTTTTTAACTGACCTAAGCTTTATGTCCTTTATAAATTTAGATTGGCTCCTTACATGCATGTATTAAATCAGGTAAATATTTTTTGGCAACAGCTTCCGAGAAGTTCTAAAATTTAACTTTATAACACATCTGTTTATTATTTTAATAATATTATTGTACGAAAATTAGTTTGCTTTCAAAGTCGTTAAATTTTATTAATAATAGTGACCAACGAAGTGCTTTTTTAGTATTCATCATAAATGGACGAAAACTTAATTCAAAGCGCAATACTCTTATGATATGCACAAATTATTATGAGCGTCCGCTGCAATTTAAACAAAGAAAACTCTTCCTTTTTTTTAGGCCATGTGGATCGAATTTCTACCTAAGACATCTCTTCTTCGACCCGTGTCCGGCCAATACTGAGTGTAGGTCTCTTCGAATGCACCCCATTCTCTTCGGTCTCTTGCCTTTCTCATCCAGTCTCTACCAACTACTTTGACACGTCATCGGTCCACCTCTTTGGCTGTCTGCCCACGTTACCACTTCCAGTACGAGGTCTCCACTCCAGTACTTTTGTGCCCCACCGATTGTCAGTGCGACGGTATATGTGACCGGCCCACTTCCACTTTTTCCAAGCAACCTACCTACGACAAGAATATCAGGGTTTTCAACTGTAAAAGTTATTGCAGTTTGATATGAAACATCTATAGCCGTACGTAAAACCGATTGCCAGCGTCGCGACGCATACCATGGAGTGCGTTTATTATAGTACATATACATAATAATATGTGCAGGCTATGAGTAGTAGTGTGCATGGTGTCGCGACGCGTCGTCATGCGCAAGTGACTGTTTCTTAATATTAATTTTACTTTTCACTATGCCGCATGAGTTTCATGTCGTAAACTATCCTTTCATCTATCTGTACCTGACAAAATAATATAAATGTTTCACAACTGCCAGCCTTCACGCGATGGCTCCTTTTTTATTCTACATATTTTGAAATATGATTTGAATAAAGGAAGCTACTCCTTGTTTGTATCTAATTGGATCGAATTAAGATCTACGACCTATAAGGATATTTTTGTATAAAAATTTTTGTTCTTGCATTGTCGCAGACGTCACATTTATAATTCTAAACATCATCTACACATTAGTATGTAACATTTAATCTTTCTATATATAAAAATGAATTGCTGTTCGTTAGTCACGCTAAAACTCGAGAACGGCTGAACCGATTTGGCTAATTTTGGTCTTGAATTATTTGTGGAAGTCCAGAGAAGGTTTAAAAGATAGATAAATATTAAAATGCTCGGAATTAAGTAAAAATAACATTTTTGTTTTTCCTTTGATGTGTCTTCCGTCGGACCGATTCCTTTTGTTTGTTTTAAGTTTATTTTATACAAAAGTTTAGGTCTTTTATTTATCGATTGAGGCACTACGAAGTTTACCGGGTCAGCTAGTCGTTGAGAAAAACATTGCATAATAGAAATGAAATATTACAGCATAACGTATCTCTAATTTATCGTCTAAGAGTTTTATATAAATAATACCTTAATATCCTTTCCGATGCGCAGGCACCAAGCCCCTTGGACTTCGATGGTTTCGTTAATCTACTTGGATACAAAACTTTAGAACTCGATTCCGAAGAGACGCTTGTAGCTGCTTTGTCACGGTGGGATCCAAATAATACAGGACTCATTTCAGAAGAAAGGTAAAATTCTATCGGAACATCTTTTATCATATTTTTACATATAGCAACATCCGTTTTTCTTTACAGGCAACTTACTTATAACACGGTATTTTACAACACGGTATCACTGTAAGACGATTTTTTTTTCAAAAACCCTCTCATAACACGGTAACGAGATTTATGTTAAAAATATATATTGAAAAAATTACTTTATGCATTATAAACACACAATATATGGGAATGACCGAAATTTTACTGCTTATTTTATATGTATAATCGGTAAAATAATACATAAAGGCATAGTTGAGATGTTTCATTCAAAAAAATTACTCTCCCGGCTTCTAGCCTTATATGAGACGGTTTTGCACAACACGGGACTTTGTAGACACGTATCTGCAGTGTTATGAGAGGGCCACCTGTATTTACTCTAAGTAACGACGTCGCTTATTAGCACTTGTACCAGCTAAGTCTGCTAGTGCTAATATGATCTAAACAGTCATCGTAGCAGACAGTTGAAGTCATCGTGGCCTAAAGGTTAAGACGTTCGATGTATTCGTATCTTGCGATGCACCGCGCCGGTGTTCGAATCCCGCAGGCAGGTACTAATTTTTATAATGAAATACGTACTTAACAAATGTTCATAGTTGTCTTCCATTGTGAAGGAATAAGGAATAAAGAAATAAGGAAGGAATAAAAAAAGTGTAACAAAAATGAAACCCGTAAAATTATAATTTGCATTATTACTGGTGGTAGTACATCTTGTGAGACCGCACGAGCAGGTACCACCATCCTGCCTATTTCTGCCGTGAAGCAGCAATGCGTTTCGGTTTGAATGGTGGGGCAGCCGTTGTACTGTAAAAACTGAGACCTTAGAACTCATATCTCAAAGTAGGTGGCGGCATTTACCTCGTAAATGTCTATGGGCTCCGGTAACCACTTAATACCAGTTGGGCCGTGAGCTCGTCCAACCATCTAAGCAATAAAAAAAAGAAAAAAATATCATAATATCCATTTCACCATCTTGAGGTAAGAGGTACAACTACTCTCTCTAAGCTCAAGCCGTAATTTATGACTGCTTCGTAATTTATGTAGGAAATATAGTAGTATCTTCCTGAAAGGCCACAAATTACACATTATTAGAAGTCGCTTTTGAGTATTGATGGTTGCATTTTGATATTTGGGCATCTTCCATTCTTTAAATATCATTTACACCAGGTCATCCATTCTCAAATATAGATATATAGTTCATAAGTACCCCACAAACAATATAAACGCAAACACATCTCTTTACACTTATGGACTGACCCAAAATCTTGTGTTTACATTATAAGCATTGCGTACTGTTTATCTTATCTCGATTGTGAGAAGCCTCGCCTTGGGGCTGTTGTCCTTTTCGGAAATCACAACGGTCTATTCCGTTTTGAATAATACGAAACTACATGTTGAAATTTTTATAGGCTTACATTTATCAACGACTATCTGACCCGGCAGATTTCGCAGTGCCTCTATCGATAAATAAAATACCTAAACTTAAACTTAAAACAAACAAAAGGAATCCGCCCAAGGGTTTTTTTTGTTAAATTCCAATAATTTTCATATTTATCTACCTTTCAAACCTTCTCTGGACTTTCACAAATAAATCAAGACCAAAATTAGCCAAATCGGTCCAGCCGTTCTCGAGTTTTAGAGAGACTAACGAACAGTAATTCATTTTTATATATATAGAAGATAAGATAGAAACAACATTTCTGGCCTGATATAATTTCCTCCAAAGTTCCACTCAGCTTGGCATGGAGGACTGCTCCCGTTTCTGAGCTAGTGCCAAGTATTTTCGTTTGACTCTACTCAGAAGATGGTTCTTCGGATTATCGATAATACTAGTCTCACGGATCGTTTGAATCCTTTAGTTAGGTCAACAGAGAGACTTTTGTTCTGTCTTTTTGAAGTGAAACTTCTTTAGGCGCATGAGGGCAAAAATTTTAATAGGAATTGAAATGAAATGAAAAGAATTTGGAACATTAATCAAATATATTTAGCATGAAATTAAATTAGTCAATTCAATTTGCAAAATATTAGTCATTTAAAATGTAGACACCTAAACATAATGTGACTGTCAACACTGAGGTTTGAGATTGACATTTGACAGACCTTTGGCGGGAACATATCTTCCTTTTTCCCTTCCTCTAAGTCTCGGAAATCTAGTTTTAGATTTGTATAAATATAAGCAAGACTTACAAATTAGTTCGCCAAAAAACTTTCACTTCTGACATGTGTACTTTGTACGCACGCACTTTTTTTTTGTACTTGTATTGTTTCTATGTTTTGATTCGTATATACCATAATTAGTGCTTTGTGAAATTTGGTTGAGATGATCTCATCATCTTTTTTTACCAATGGGGCAGAGTCCAAACAAATCAATCAAAGAAATTGAAATCATTGCTCCTTATTCTATCTCCGTGTTTTCAGAGTACTATATTATGATCTTCTTAGAATGATTGTTGAAAAAAGTCGTTAGCGGTAGGTAGTGGCTCAACTGTGTTCTGGCATACAGTTAAATAGGATAAATAGGGTAGAAATAGAAATTAATAAAACTGCACAAATTTCAAAGACTTCAAAATGCTCGCAGTCCCTTCTCAATATTGGTGTTGCGAACATTATGAATATAATGAAATTTCATAATAATTTAACGTATAGATTTTATGTGCTGGTTTCAATAGTACGAACAAAAAACAGAATATCTTTGCAGCCTAGGTATTATACATCGTTGTTAATTAGCAAACAGCGGAAATAAGGAAACTTGTTTAATATCCGTAAAGGATTAGGGAAGTTCAACACACATCGTCGAGTTTTAATCGTATGAGCAGACTAATAATGCCTTCTTTGATGTTTTTTATTGACTTAGATAGGCAGTAGAGTTCTAGAACTCCATCCGTCAAACGCTCACACATCAGTCACAGAGAACTTAAGGACGCAATTTTAGTATCTTACTTTTTAAATTAGAACAAATGACTAATCACATCAATATTACTAGCCTGAAACCAGTGAAGATTCATAATATTCCCTACAATTTTATTACTTGTGGAAACAGACGCGGATTTTGAGACGCAATTTTTAAAGTCAGAAACTTGGGTCTTGTAATATGTTATGGGTCAATCGCTTATATTTTACGTTTATTCCCTTAAGGCCGAGCATACAGCCTATTTGTTGATGAGCTATCACTATATTGATTCTTAATTTCTAGAGACTTTAAAATCTCGTTTAAAGAAGGACATTTCATAGCGCTCACAAAGCACCGGGAAGAAAAAGACATAATAGTGCCTGTGGAAATGAGCTGCGGATGAGCGCAGTGCTTTCAGAGAGTATGGATTGGATGGTCTACGATCCGGTGGTCAGTAGTCGTGTTTGTATAACAGAGATGACGGAACTATCCCTAGCAACGAAACCGAAAACTGAAATGTTTTTAAATATTACAATCTAATATTGTGACATTGTCTCTCATAAATAAGCAAACCCTTATTTACCTTTTTGATTGTCTAGCTTACTGTATCTTCATCAAAAATGCTTGTTATTTTGTTTACCTACTACCCTAGCCTACGCAAGGTCAAAGGTCCGCCCTTATTTTTTGTTGAGAGGTATCGAAGTTTCACTGTCAGTGTGCGGATTAATTTTTTATCTTAGGGTAGCGCCGATTTCCTAATAAATATTCAAAATTATCGATACCGGAGTCAAAAATAACTTTACTGATAGGTAAGAGATATTCTTCGGATTTCACTAATATAATTAAAGCTTATATATGTTAAAATACTTTTACGATTCATTTTCCCATTTGTTATTTATTTTTTGCCTACCTATGAACAGGTAAGAAAATAATATAAGATTCACCGAGCTAGTAGGTGAGCTCACGGGGCTCAAACCGGGAATGTTGCTAACGCTAGCCTTAGCAAGAGCAGTGCTTCGCAGAATCTACTACCGGATCGGAAACGCGATGCACTGAGAAGATCCGGCGAGAAACTCAGTGGGCTGTGTGTGTCTATGGCTTAACTTACTCGTCGAGCTCTTCGTCGCAAGCGACGGGCTCGGCGAGGACGGTTACCGGTCTTTAGGCCCAAAAAGCATCGTTAATTGATTGGGAGGATCCGTAATGACGTGTTTAGGGCGACGTCGACTGTTTACCATTCGGTCCACCGGACCGAGTATGTAATGTTACTTACGATATGTAATTAGCAACGTTTTTATGTGGTTGCTGAGTCGATTCGTATAAATTGCACTCAGCACACTCTAACAACTTATTTTTGTCTGGCTTTGATTTACCAGTTCCTAGCATGTGTTGATTTTTAAAGATTTCACCCTAATTCGATCTAAATTCAATGTGTTCCGTTCAATGGCAAAAAATATACGACCTTTTTGGTTGTGATTTTAAAACAATACATACGAGGCGAGTACGTAGAGGTTCAAGCTGGATCTCGGTTCAACGGCCCACTAAAAAGAACGACTGGTTGTCAAATTAAAAATAATATTATAGTATGTTTAAACAAAGAACATATTAAATTTTGTTGGCATGCCTATTATTTCTCAATTCTACGAAACAATACTATTTCGTTGTTATTAAAAAAAATCCAATTGCAAGATATTTAAAATTTTTCGATTTTTTCAATGACTTCAATTACTGGAAGATGTTTTTTTTTTCATTCAGTCAATGCTCTTCTTTTGTTACACTTTATTAAACGTATTATAAGATGGGAAAAAAGAAAGGAAAAATCGAAATCCATAATTAATTCGAGGAAAACTAATATCAAAGAGCTGCTGTGAGTAGGATTTAATTATAATATGTCGCTTCCTAATTACTAAACGGCGAGACTCGAGAAACTTATCTAATCTGTACGAGACTAAGGGATGCTTACAGAGTTAGCCGGTTTGTACGTTGCCCATATTAATACTAGTACAATTTTAAGGGTATGTTTACCTTTATTATCTTGAACGCAGCTAATAAGAATTCATACTTTGAATAATATGAACAGGACGGAACAAGCGGAACAGGCTAATTTAATTATTAATTTATCAATAAATTATTTTGGTTATGGTGTCTTAAAATAGCACAACCATATGTCTGTCCATAGACGTCGTTAAAGGCGACTATGTGATTCAACGGAGTGCGGTAGCAGCAAGTTTTTTTGTTAAAGGATATTACTTCTAATTAGATTAGCTTTGGAACACATTTTTTCTTTAACACGTATTTCGACTATAAAATTATTACAATTATATGCACAAAATGATTTATCAATGGCCAAGGTCCGAGAATTTGGTTTTATTTCATTTTCAGTCAGTTGTTTTTGCGGCACAATTAAATTATGAAACTGTTTATGGATTATAAAAAATCATAGCAATTGTAACCAACGATTGAAAAATTAATGTTTGTTTCTTTATTTGGACATAGTACGTAAAAATGGTTTAAGGTAATTTGGGCTTTTCAAAAAAAGGAAGCACAAGCTTTACATATACAATTTAAATATGATTTTGTGTATTGTATATATTACAAATATACCATTAAACACAGAATAGAATCCGAAGCGTGTAATTTAAAAGTCAGACATTTGACAATTCCATACAAATTATCCTGCGTCTCTTTCAAATGCAAATAATATTCAACTCTCGAAAGAAGGCTATTTGTGAACTTTCTGAAGTCATAATTCTTCGACGCGATGAATAAATGTCTAGCCTACATCATCTTTTCAGTGCTCCAGAATCATTAATCACGTCTTTCACGCTAATTGCGAAGTCTCACTTGAAACCATTGCTAGTTGTTTTGTCATTCGGATCTTTTCTTGTCATTCTTATTTGTGTATTTTTTGTTGCTCTTTGTATAATTTTTGAGAATTTTGTGTTTTAGGCTTTTTAATATTGAAAGCACTTATCCGTAGTACGTTTTCAGGACCTATTTCTGCCATGCACCACACGACTTTATAACAAATTTCTACAATACTTATATTTATAACAAATTTCCCTCCATTTTTATCATTTAAATTTTTTATTGGGTCGACGAGCATATATGGATTAAGTGGTTACCGGAGTCCATAGACATCCACAACGTAAATACCACCACCAACCTTGAAACATGAGTACTAAGTCTCAGTTTTTACAGTACAACGGCTGCTTTTCCCTTCAAACCGAAACGCATTACTGTTTCACGGCAGAAATACGCACGATGATGGTACTCGTGAGGGCTCAAGGATACCTTACCACCAGTCAAACTAGATTTAAAGGGAGTTCCGAGTAGTAGGATGGCAGAACTGTGTCCTTGAAATTGCCGATACCCATTGATGTGCCTTATGCTCTTCTGCCTTCATAACGAAACCAAATATCGTATCCTATTACATATTCTACATAAACAATCAAGCCCCAACAGCAAAAAACAACTGAAATTTAATTACACCATCAAGTCCGTTTTATTGCTTTTTTATAGGTGGACGAATTCACGGTCCACTTGCTTTTACATTGTTACCGATGCCTACAAATACGAACCCCGTCACTTATTTTGTAATATAGGGCCAACATGGTCTCTCATTGTACGCTTTGGTTATTTTTTCAGAATCCGACACGATCTCATGACCTGGGGCGATCGCTTCACCGCAAAAGAAGCAGACTACGCTTTAGACGAAGCACCGATAGTCCAAAAAGAAGTCGGCACCATGATAGACTATATACGGTTTTGTAGTCAGTTGAGTGGTCTTCGCAAACCAAATAAGCCCAGAGATTAATAAATTAATCCCGAATAATTTTGCTTATCAAATCAATCAGATTGTTTGTTTAATTTAAAAAATAAAATCAAATATTAATATTGGAAAGAAATTACTTACTTATTTTATACAAGTAATCACGATTTTATAATAACTACAGTTTGAATACCGTTAGCAAGGATATGGAAGTTAAAATATATAAAAAATAATGAAATAATTATCATATTGAAAAGACTATTGATAGATATTGAAGAATAGATCAGTGAAATGATAAGAATAAAAATAATAAATAACATTTTAACTTTTCTATTGTATTTATAGAATTGGCAGATGGAATTTCGCCCAAAGGCAATGCTGGGATACGTCGTTACCAGCATTCAAACATTAATATTCTTTCAAAACCTCGCTTGAAAAATAAATTAAACATCCTATTTATATTGAACTTTGTAAAGCTTAATTAGCGTTGTAAACAAATATTGGATGCTTTCAACGTCAAAATTTAATAAGTAACATACGATACTCGTATATTCAAATACATATATTAATATATTACTTGTTTTTTAACAGATAACAAATTAAAATGGATCAGACTTTTTACAACTCAGAAACTTTTTACACATTCAAAACTTCTACAATAGCAAACATGTTTTTGGACGAAATTGATAATTAAAGATTACAGTGATAAATGCTTCCTTGTTATTGTTAGCAACAGTTATCCAAAGTGTCATAATAATACATACAGCTTTAGGAATTTTATTTTGGTTATTTATGTACTTACTCGATAGGATCCTTGTAGATATCGAAGTCCGTGAAGATGATTTCCACGATTTCGTGTGGTGCAGCGATGAATGTGTAGAGTACGCAGGAGAGGTGCGGCGGATACGGTCGCGGGTAGTCGGGGCTGCTGAATGTTCCACGCTCTTTGCCGTATGTTGAAGTGAAGCGGATGCACTCACAACCTGATGATAGAAAGATACCCATTAGGAAACTATTCTGCTCAGTTTCATTAAAATTCTAAGTACTTTATACTGGTGGTAGGACCTCTTGTGAGTCCGCGCGGGTAGGTACCACCGCCCTACCTATTTCTGCCGTGAAGCAGTTATGCGTTTCGGTCTGAAGGGTAAGGCAGCCATTATAACTATACTGAGATCTTTAGAACTTATATCTCAAGGTGGGTGGCGCATTTACGTTGTAGATGTCTATGGGCTTAAGTAACCACTTAACACCAGGTGGGAGCTCGTCCATCCATCTAAGCAATAAAAAAAAAAAACTTTAAAAGCATTGAAAATTTTCAATTGAATTATATCCTCTTCCTAAGATATTGACGAAATAATTTCCAATGCTGATCATCATAGGTACGTATTTAACTATGCAGAAGATATTAAATTTGAAGAACGATAAGCACTAATATTTTAGAAATAATAAAGCACAGCTTGAGACGTATCTTTTTATGAATTATTCCTGTTGGTGAAAACTAAAACAAGAATCTCATTAACTTCAACACAAGCAGATAGATCCAAATCTTAATTACCTACATCAGGTACTTATAGTACAGGTCTGTCCTTGAGACGCAAGCAAAATAACACCACCCGAGTTACCTCTTACCCGCAAATTGTTCACGCTGATTGGATTAGTAATTCAGAAAGGTAGGTACTAAATTATTCGCCCACACATCGATTACCGGGAAGACCGTAACGGTAATTATGTAAGAAAGTAACTCAACACCGACCTGTAATTAGCTGACTTTCGGAAAATCTGCACCTCATGGAGAAACGTTGAGGACAAAGTTTGTTTTGTTTTTATTTGTCTTCAATTGAGGATTCAGTTTAAAATCCATTTTTTTTTAAAACTAGACCTAGTTCAAAGGGGATACAGGAGTTAAAATGAGTAGCTGATAACTTTACTTCAAAATGCAATATTACTAGTAATAACGATAACAAATCTACTGCTTAGAGAGCATAAAATCATAAGTTGAATTCTTATTTGATTGAATTAATTATTGACTACCCTAATTTTTCATTGCCTCTAAAGTCAAGCAAGAATGTGATCCACCAGACAGTGAATGGTTACCGATGCGCATGAAAATTAATAATGGTAGAAGCATAACCCAACCTAGACTTCCTCTTATTATTAAGACTATTTTCTACATTTAATACTTATCAAAACGAATGAATTGTTTCTTTATATTTTTGAAATTGATATGTATTTTCTATTTAAATCATCAAAAAACAATACAAAGGCTTAATCAGTTCATTCAGGGTTCATTAAGTTCTTTATTTATCACACTTTTCTTTCTCCAACCAAATTATCAAGCAATACCTAGTACGTTAGTAAATAGCTAATGTTACTTTTTCTTGCTACAATTTTCTTATAACCAGGATCACTGTCTTTCGTGACTGCCCTAAGAACTGTCTTCATTATTCGCAATTATCAGTTTGTCTTTTTGTTAAAGATTTCTTTGTTCTACTGAACTAGATTAGTTTGATAGTTTCTTTACTAAGATATACTTTATACTATTACTCAATACTATTACTTTATATTTACTAGAACTTTATTAAGATTTTTTAAATTTAAGACTTAAGAATCATCGGAATTGTTATGAAATTATTTTAAATTTTAATTCAAACCAGAAGTCTGGATTGATCTTTATTGATCTCGTATGGAGATTCAGTTATAGATTAAACACATTCTCGTAATTGATAGCTTGATCCCCATTAAACAGAATCCTCCCCCATTATACAAAATCCTCGGGGTCTCAGATTCAATTGAAGCTTTAGATCTTATCAGATCCAATTTTCATTACCGCGGTTAGGTCCTGTTAGTGAATTACGTACCCCCAAATAGTTTGAGTCAACTATTCCAATTTAATTTTAATGTTTCTCCTCATGATTACGGAGTGCTTTGGATTGATAGGTTATTAAAGTGATTGTCCTCGTGCTACGCTTGGAATTTATCGTTCACATATTTTTTTCATTTAAATTATACGGTGAATTGACCTGATCGCGACCTTCACAAAGCCTTGATGTTTATTTTAACGGCCGTCTGGTGTAGTGGTAAGTGACATGGTCACTACACAAGGGGGTCGCGGGTTCGAATCCCGCCAAGGGAAGATATTTGTATGATAAATATAAATGTCTTTTCCAGGGTTATGGATGTATGTTAAATATATGTATGTGTATAATAAAAATCTTACATTTATTTACGTTATCTGGTACCTTTAACACAAGTTCTTTACGAACTTATCACGGGACCAGTTAACGTGGCGTGATTGTTAGTAAAATATTTATTATTTATATTATTATTATTATTATTATTGACTTCTGAAACGAAAACCAATATAATTTCGGTGTCAATAACGTGATAAGACTTTTGGAAAGATTGAAGGTTAATTTCCATCGCTCCATTCCAGTGAAAACTATATTAGCTTACGAAAGATTCGGTATTAGACTATTTCAATTTACTATCAATACATAAACATCGCTACTATGAATCGTGAAATATGTATTGAACACGTGATCGTACTAAAGAAGTTTTTTATGTTGCTAACAAATTAATTAAAAGAACAATACGAAACAATTAAGTGAAAGCAAATAATTCTAGAAGATGGAAACATGAAGTTGCGGCAATAAATTGTGTTCACGAAGCAATATCGTTTGACGAAGTTAGTAATTAGTGTAATCACCGAGTGATTGTAGTTTCGAATAGAACTCGTTCAAAGGAAAAACTTAGGAAACTCGTAAGCATTGGTTTAGAGTTCCCTACACACCCGCACTATGCTTGGTATATACGAGAAATATATATTTTTCTTCTAATTTTAAAGCAAAGTGTTGGGTACAAGTTGGGTTATTTTGGGTGGATGTAGTATATCATATACGTACGGATTGGTACTGCCTATATTTACCTAAGTAAAGTATCTCAATGTAGTTTAGTTGGTTATTTATAAATCAGTCTGTTATGATTAAAACTAAATAAGAAAATCATTAAAAAACACTTAAAGTTTATATTTAGTGTAGTGGCCGCAGGCACAAAAAGGACAGCAAGTAAATACACGTTTCAGTTCAGTTTCGTAAGTATTTCTTGTTTTAGATTTATTCTGTTTTGATTTAACCACCGTAGAACGTACATAATCCTTTTGAATAAAATGGTCTCATTTCCATTACGACGGTTTCTTTGATGCTACATCTCATAATCCACAATAAATGGCTAACTGGTTACTCGAGCCAATCAATTACATTAATGGATAGAAAAATTTACAAAAGACTAAATATATGTAAGTAAATATGTATGTAAATATAATAATATGTAAAATGAAAGAGTGATCGCCTCGCCCTCCGTGGAGTTTGGTTTTTGGGAATCTTTGTGAAAAACACTAGGGTACATTGTTCAGCGAGAAAATGAATTCAACTGTTTTTTTCTTCTTTTGCTTTATGCTTACATGAACAGACATAAAATAAAACATTTCTGAAACCGCTACATCACTGGACAGAGATTCACCACACGTTCACATTATTAACAACGCTTAAGCGTTGCAAGCGCTTATGATAGTAGACCAGACTAGCCAGAACTAGTTTTGTACTTAATTATGAATTAATGTATAGAATCAACCAAACAAACAAAAAGAGAAATGGAATTGAATAAAGTCGTTAAATTGCAACTTAATCGTATTAATGACGTGTGGATGGATATGAAACGCACAGATATACAAACATTCAAGTACATATTGTTTTTAATTATTGCCTTCGTAGACAAGCCAGCATACTTGGTGTAGAACGGTCACTCATAGACAACCAGGAACATAGCAAAGCTGCTGTCTAGCTCCGATGCCTTTAAAATAAAACCTTTACAGCAATGTGTACGACAGACATAAAAGAAAATAATTCAAAATTATTATTGTATTTGTTTGCCGAAAAATCGTTTAAAATTATTATTGTTTTTGGAGAGGCAATTATCGCAACTCATCCATCGGTCCTTGCTTAGGTAGATAGGCGGACTCAAAGGCTCAGTCCGTGTTAAAAGATGAT